CTACAATTGCATTTTAAATAACATATACGAAGGTTTCATTTGCTTCAAATTTGTTATAAATTCTTTATACAATAATATTTCTAATTGTTAATTTAACAGACGTAACATTAATTAGATTATTAAAAGCCATTACAGAGAAACTTGTATCTTAACATGCGAAATTTACGTAACAAATTTGAGAACGTCGCTTCTCATTGTAGTAAGTTTAACAAAGAGAAACCGAGAGGCAGATAGTACAAAATATTTTGTTAAACTTGAGATCCTCTTGATACGTAATACCACAAACTTTATGTTATTCCCCCCCCCCCCTTCTCTCTTTTTCTCTCCCTCTTTATTCTCTCCAACAAGATTGTTCGTATATTTCAAGGCACAAAGCGTTTTATTTTCAGGGCTCGTAATCCTGCAATGTTTTCATGCAGTATCTTCACGATAAAAAAACTCTTCGAAACTCTCAAGAATTATTTTCCACTTCGTATATCACAATAGGGAAATCATTAGTCACGTGTCAGTTGGGGCAAAAACAATCGCAAGGGAGAGAAGTATTCTCTCTATTAAGAAATGAGTGATGTAAGGAGAGTTAAAAAAACCAATTTTGTCGTATAAAACCACTAACTTCTCTCTTTCTCTCTTGTTTTCGGGAGCGCTGAACCCGAGAATCTTTTGCCATTTTCACACCTTTCTGATTGCACGATCGCCGTCTGTGGTACATTATGGACTCATCGCCCAGCTCGTTAACCCTCGCTCGGAGTCGCGCGAAGAAACGACTTCTTTTTTAGGATCGTTCCAGCGACATCGATTTTAGATAAAGTCAATGAACTGACGCGAATTTCCGGCGCCAATGGCAACTACAGACAGGACCAGTGCAAAAGATCCATGCTGCTGTTTGGACAAATAAAATAGCATCGACTGCCACCGCGTTTATATTACCACCTGTGACTCGTCTTCGATCTCTCTTTCTTCCTTTTTTTCTTTTAGTCGTACACTCATTTTCAGCTGTGTCAAATCCTGGCGCAATCTATCAAGTTCTGGCAAATAGTAAACCTCCCGTTACCGAGACTTGTGCGACTTTTAACGCAGTATATTGCAATCGTGCAGGATGGACGAAAAGGGTAAAAAGAAATAACTAAATACTTATTTTTTGTACGACAAATCAAATGGCGTCGATCAATTGGCATTATATCCTTGAGAAAATAATAATAGACGAGGGCGGGAAACGTCGAGGACGATGGGGTGAAGTAACTGAATAGTGGAGTTCCTTGTAAAGGTCAATGAGAGGGTTACGTAGAAAATTGAACTTAGTGATGTAAAAAAGATTCTTATACGATGAGCTGTCACGGATACTGATTTGATTCGATATCTTTGAGAGAAAAAAGTGATAAAGCAAATTATCTGATATCACGATGAAGTGCAAATCAGATGCAAGGAAGAAAAAAAGGGCATCAACCAGAATTGAACTTCATTTTACTTATTACGACGGAGAGGTAATGGAGTTGTCCGATTACTCTCGGTAATCATGCAGAAGTAGGAATTGAGCAAATAGATTTGTCGCTTGTTTCGAAGGCAATTACGATTACGTCACCAGCATCTATCGTGTCGTTTATTTTACTTTGTCATTTCCGCTATTTTCTCATTACTCACTATCGGCCGCCGCGTTCGCGTCTACCTTACTTCTTTACCTTATTGTACCGCGGTCGCTCGAGAAGGACGTAATTTCTGTGCTTCGAGAGATGTTCTATCGATCTATTTGCTCGGCTATAGAGCAAGCATCGCTGGTACGGCATCTGAAATTCGTGGTGCCCAATTTGCACGCGGGATTAAGCACGCAAAAGAGCGGTCATTGCATCCGTTGGCGCGGGTTTATCATGAAATATTATAGCGAGCGTACTCTCGCTGGAGAAATTACGTCGCGATGTTGACGGAATATGACGGACGTGAAAAAATAAAAAGATAAAACCGTCCATAAAAACCGTGGACTACGGATTCCTTTATCTACCATTTACGTCTGAAACGTTCCGGGCGAATCCGAGAGATTGGCCGACAATTTATTATACCGTAATAAAATCACGCTCGCCACTTCTTCTTTCTTGCTACCAAGTGATAATCGCGCTGAGAACTCGCGAAATCAGCAAGCGAGCTCATGCGACGCGCTGAAAGGCAAATAAATTGCTGTATACAGGGAGCTATAAAGGCCATTTTACTCGATTTAAAATGCGCGACAAAATTTATAGGAGAGAATCCACTATATAGAATTTTATTTTAAATTTTGTTAATATACTGCGCGGAATTTTTTATTTTAAAGATATTCTTCGCATGAGAGAATTATGAATATAAAATTCTGTTACGAATTCAATTGCGAATTATAGTTCATGTAAAATGAATCTAAGCGCTGCGAGATGCATGCGGCAGAAACTCACATAAACATGGAGACAGAGAGAAATAAAAGGCAGCATGGATAGTATAAATTGCGAGCATTCGCTGATTCTAGCAGAAAGAATAAATGTAACAAGACTATTCTTTGTTGCTCCTCAAATTAAATTTGATGCGACACAGTTAACTGCTCTTGGTACTATAAGAGAAAATTCTCGACGAACCTAAGAGTGCTCCAAAGTGGTTTTAAGACACTTTGTATAATGAAAATAATAACAAATTGGTAAAAGGATTCGGCTCGCGCATTTGTTATACGATAAACACAGTTTACTGAAACCTTAAATCTGCGTAAAAGGTTTATGATCTAAAGATTAATTTAGAATATGTATTTTAACTCGTGCGATCCAATCTTTATTTATCTAATTGATTTCTCGATCTGTACAGAATTTATGATGTCTTGAAATAGCTAAATACAAATTATTAAATACTTGTACCATCTTTGAGTACGTTTTTTCTTGTTGTGAATTAATGAAGAAAAGTGTTATATAAAAAGTATATATACATATACACAAATAATGCTGCAGCAAGAAAAAAAATGTACAGAATACATCTTATTTTGATTCAATTCTTGTTTTGAAAAAATGTATAATGTCAAAGTAATTCAAGACACAAAAAAATAATATCCCAAAATAATATTAAGTTATTTCTTAATAAAATATAAATGACTACTATATGAGATATTCCATAATCATTATACAATATTTTAATAATATATCAGAGATTAATATTGGAATCAAAAATCCTGAAACGAAAGAGGATCGAAGTTATACTGATCCATAATTGGACATTTTCTCCTTTAATTCCCTTTGATTGTAACTATTGAAAAGAACATAATAATCGATTGTACTTCCAAGAACTTGGCAAGAAATCTAGATCGCTCTTATTTCAGAATCAAATACAAGAAATCTGCTTAAAAATTAAAAGATATCGGTATTTCTACTGTATACTGTAAGAAACTATAACTTTTTTGCTTATTGTTAGTTACTTTCTATTTTCTTGCAACAGCACCTATATCAAATTAATTTTATTTTTATTATAATTATGCATTAATTCATCGAAACAAGACAACTTGGAGGATATCGCATTGTCAGCAAATCGATATGTATAATATCATGAGTAGCATTTATAATGATTGAGTGATACGATAATATCTTCATTTCCGGAATTATTCGACAGAGAGATTATCAATTTTCTATTACATAATATTATTGAATTAATTATTACACTTAGCTAATGTTGTGTATTATTCTGCCGTATATATTTCATATATATGTATAAAATAATATAATTATACGATGTTAATATAATTGTGAGATGCGTAAAAGAATTTAATTAATTTATTTTTTTAACTATCGCGAGAAAAAAGATTTAAAATCATTTTAAAAAACAAATATTTTTTTAATATAGTGTATGTTGTGCGTATGTGTGTGTCTATTAATTCGTTGTAATTTTCTTTGTGTCACGTTTTGCTATATAAGACGATCGCTTTTAGAAGCAATCACCTTAATCGAATGGCACTTAATCCGTTATTCGAATAGGTTTCTCACTGAAACTTCGGCCTCAGGTGTGGTGAAAGCAATGCTGACAAGGTTCGCACGGCTTCACTCTACCTTTTGCCTGCCTCGCGAATATCCAAGCTTACTGACATCGACCGATAAATTGTCGAACGAATACGAGAGAAAAGGAGGCGGATAATGGATTTTCTAAGGACATCGAACGACGAGGTGGAAGGAATTGAAGCTTCGGTTTGATTAACGTTGCCCTTTCGACGTGCACTGTAACTTTATCCCCAATAAGAAGATAATCATCAACACTTGGAAAAAGTCACGTCTGCTTTGCCAGAATTAATATTACTGGCATGAAGCTTGAAAGATTAATTATAATTGAGTTGTTTAATACTGTTGACATTTTATTCTCGGAATATACTTTAAATTCTTTTCTATTTTTGTAGATATATATCACCGCAGTCTCCAATGTTACAAAGATAATTAATTTCTTCTTTAAAATTGTCCGCAATAAAAAGGAGAAAGCGGTAGGTGTGCAAACAAAAGAGAGGAAGAGGAAATTACGTTTCCAACGTGAATAAACGTCCCTTTGGACGTCTCGATCTCTTTCCGCTACTTATTTTCTGACACACTAACGGAACAGTTTTACTAGATATTCACGATGAAAGGAAAGAGAAATCGGAATAGAGCAGAGAGAAAAAAATTTAGTTTGAAGTAAAAATCGATAGCCTTTATCCCTAGAAAATGCATCTTCCTATCCCGTTTTGCAATTCTGTTATTTGCTATTTCACCAATAATTACAATTTTTTTATATTTTAAAAAGTAGAATCCAAATGAATTTCAAAAACTAATCAAAATAAAAAGCACATAGTAAATACTGAATTAGAAATCATGCAATGAATTAATCTTAAGCAATAACTATTAATTTTTGTGTTGTTCACGGAGATGAAATTTACTAATCGATTCAACAGCAATCTGATAGCGTGACACGCTTCCGAAAGCTGATAACAAAGTTTTTCGATTACAGGACACGATATTAAGAGAATAGCTATCTATACTCCTGAAGATGAGAAACTGATAATGAACTGTCCAGGATGTGAGGCTACAAGATGGCCCGGAGGGCAAGTACCAGCGGCTCGCAGGGTCTTTCGGTATGTATTATCAACGTTATCATACTTGATTGATCTGCTCAATTATTCTTAGGTACATCAAGTCTTGATCATCGTAATTTGCATATTAATGAATTGGTATGTCTAATCTAAATATTTCAGTAATTATATTTAAAAGTTTTGAATCATATTTGAAGAGTTTTTGATTGAGAATAATAGAATACTGAAAGTATTAGCACTATTCACATATTTTCATTACGTCTGATCTTATTACAATTCAGATTTAATAATCCGGAATAAGGATTGATGATCTTCTCGTGTCTAGCGAGATGTTATTTAATGAAATAATCGCCGTTACCTGAGTATTTCGAGTCATTACCACTGTCAAATATTTAGCTAGTTTCGACACGCGTTTGACAATAATTCGACTGCAGATAATTACTGTTTCCAGCGAGTTAGTGTAAGGCATTGTACATCAATAGCGGTAGCAATTATAACATTACGGAATAATAACGTGTTGAATTAATTTACACGCCCGTTCGATAACATCGTTCGAATATTCATCAAACTCGAGGGCGGCAGATCGAGTGATCGAGTTTGTTATTGCACGCAGATTACGAATGGTGACAGTGGCACCCGCCGCGTTTCTCGCTATCACCTGCATCGCCAGTGTCGGTGTTACCTTGGCGCTCGCTTTTCTGGCCTTTAATCTTCACTTTCGCAAGCACAAGTAAGTTCGATATTCAATACAAACTATGAATCCTCATGTAATTGATAAAGTAAAAAATATGGAAGAACGCGAACATCTAAGATTCTAAGTGTTACACTGAGAAAAATGTACTAAATTTTAATAAATATTTGTTTGAATATTAATTTAACACCTATACTTATGATAAATAAATATTTATTAAACAAAAAAGGACAATTGAATCAAATTAATGGTTCTTGTATTAAATAATTATAAGTTCACATTTAATAAATATTCACCTAGGACTATTCAAACAAATATTTATTAAAATTTAGTACATTTTTTCTCAGTACACTAAAAAAGTATAAATATTCTCGAGAAAATTTTATATGTGACGTTTTCATCGATAATATTGATTATAAAAAATTTGACTATGATGACGAAATATATATTTTTATAAAATCTTATCAATCAATTGTAAAAAAATAAAATAAATGGTTTATTTGTTAGGAATAAAATGTTATTTTATCGCGTTATTTCAATAAGGATTTAATTCAGTGAAATAAATATTATATCTCAAAAATAAATTTTTAACTATCTTCTTCTCAGGGGATACTTTTTACAATATTCGTGAATGCAATCTTTAAATATTTATTGATTATTCTTAAAAAAGAAATTGATAAAATGATTTGAGTAAGTGTAGGCATACATGACATTGTCGATTTTACGAATTAAAATAAATGAAGACAGCTTACTTGAAGATCGCGCTTGCTAAATTTTCAAGAATCTGTATGTAAATTGTCACGATACATCACTCAAGTCCATTAATCCTGAATATTGGCAGAAGCATAAAACTTTCAAGCCCGAGGCTGAATAATATGGCAGCCGTTGGCTGCGGCCTGGTCTACGGTGCTGTTATACTTTTGGGACTGGACGACGCCACGCTTCCTGACAGCGATGGTTATTATCCTACGGTGTGCAAGGTGATTAACATCTATTACGAAGGAATATTGCATCCTTGACGACGTGATCAATATTATCGGCGTCGATTTGATTTATATACGCATGTTAACGGTCCGCATTAATACCGGACACCTCTTGCATTATTGAAGGCGCATCCCTTTAAAACAAATCTGGGAATTTTTTTGTAAAAAAATTAATTGAAGTTCCCAAAAAAGCGCAATTTTTTTACAAATTAAACTACGTAATAAGAACTGCAGTGTAGTTATTTATTTGTTTTCCAGAATTGGTTTGGCAAACAAATGTGCAATAATTGAAATTGCTTGTTTTACAATTATTACAAAACGCTCGTCCCTATAGTGTTTTGCCTGATTGCGTAAGTGTTCTTTCCTAAAAATAAGAACTAATATAAATGTGCCATGTGTTTCTTATCCACAGGCGAGAGTATATCTACTATCGGCTGGCTTCTCCCTAGCTTTTGGCTCGATGTTCACGAAGACTTATCGGGTACACAGAATCTTCACCAGAAGCCGGAGCGGAGTCGTTAAGAACAAGGTTAGTGACATGCAAACAATTTTCCTTCCTCATTCGGTAAACGTGACCTAACGCGAAACCGATATTTGTTTTTTCGAGGGGAAAAGAATACCAAAAAGTTACGCGTTTCCACACGCTTGCGGAATCGATGCCTGGGTCAGACACATAAATCGCACTTATCGCTTCGTGCTTTATAGCTGCTCCAGGATACGCAGCTGATATTCTTGATCTGCATGCTCCTGGTGATCGACGTCGTCGTAGTGACCCTATGGGTAATTTTGGACCCGATGCAACGTCACCTACAAAATCTTACCCTAGAAATAAGCCCACAGGACCGAGGGGTCGTCTATCAGCCTCAGGTAACTGATATGAAATTCATGTCCGACTCGTTCCGTCATCTCAAGCGAAGTACTCTGGCGATGGCTGTGGCTCAAATGTCACGGTTACACCACAGGAACTATGTTAACGAGCCGCAACCAATTAACTCGTGCCTTTATTTGCCTTTGCAGGTGGAGGTATGCCGTTCGCAGCATACGAACGGCTGGTTAAGCGCTCTCTACGTTTACAAAGGTTTATTACTCGTAGTCGGAGTCTACATGGCCTGGGAAACAAGGTGAGCTTAGGGATAAAGACATTTCCAAGTCCGCGGATACCGCATGTAAAGCAGGCTAGCTCCCCCGATAATAGAGATAATCTATTGCATACTATATGCCGTTTTGAAAGCGAACTCACTATTAATTTCTCGAATATCTATATCATTCCCACAGGAAATATTACTATAATCCTGCTTAGCTTATCTCTTGATTGAGCGGCTTAAATAAAACAGTTCACCGAGGCATTCCGTCATGTGTCTCCCGTAGATTGAACTATAAGTCAGATTGCGTCGTTGAACAGTATCACCCAAGGAACACACAAACATCAACAAAAGATTAAAATGACTTTATTCTGATGCTTAAAGTCAATAAACAATTAAATTTTGTAACCGAAAATCGTCATTTTGACATTATCTTGACTTTCTCTTGACTTGGTGTGTTTTTTGGGCAGTTCGCATAGAGATACACTATACATAAGTGAATGGCTTACGATTTCAGGCACGTAAAAATTCCAGCCCTAAACGACTCGCAATACATCGGTATGAGCGTGTATTTCGTGGTAATCACGTCGGGTATCGTCGTAGTGCTAGCCAATCTGATGCCCGATCGCGCGACCCTGGCCTTTGTCACGATCACTGCCCTGATTCTGGCCTCGACTACGGCGACCCTGACGCTCCTCTTCTTGCCCCAATTGGCAAATATCCTGGCGGGAGAGAGACCCGACCCGGTCGTGCAAAGTTTTGGTCTCAAGATCGAATGCAACACACGTAGATTCGTCACCGACGACAGAAGGTAAATGGCAAGCGGATGTCTTTTCGATCTAAAACGTGAAAAAAAAAATGAGAGAAGGGATGATAAAACTCCCTGGTATCGTCCTATAAATCGTGCGGAGGATAATCGATGGAGTGAGTAGACCTCCAGACGCAATATCCTTTTATCTTATGGAGAGTTAGGATAAGAATGCTCTCATGTTTTTTCTGATGCGAATGCTGAAGGAGAAATCACATCGCTCGATTTTGTGGCATTAAGCATACTCACTTTGCAAATTAAATATTTACGAAATTAAAAAGCAATTAATTGCTGCGTTATTTGTTACTGAATAAACGTAGACCAATTCTCTCGAGTGAAACGAGATAATTGGTCTACGCTTTTAACGCTTTAAAATTTATATGCATATATATGTATACATACATATATATCTTACTTATATTGACAAATATCTAGATATACGATTGTAATTGTAGGATTACAATCTATAATGTTAGATATTGTATTTATTTGATATAATGTTAGATATACTTTAATTTATCAATTAAATCCGTATCCAGAGAATATTAAAAATTGACCTTTTCAAAAACAAAGCCTCATGTGAAAAAATTTTATTCTACGTCTTCAACTTATTTTTTCATGTAGAACCATCCCCTTTCCGGTTGTACCATCGAAAGGTCATATAATTTTTTCCCTAGAGGGGAAACATGAAAAGTGAAGAGTTTCGCGTAAATATGTATATTAGGACATATGTATATAGGGTATTCGTGAATTAATACAATCGGAAAAGGTTGAAAGTGATTTTACATGAAAAAATAAATCAAAAATATTGAATGAAACTTTTTCATATGAGGCTTTGTTTTCGAAAACATTTTGAATATTCGTTGAATACGTATGCATTTATGTAACTATGTCTCGATTTAATAAATCCCACTGTATGCTATTATCTCTGCTCATGTTTGTATTTATTATTGTAATATCTAGGTAATTGAAAATACACAAGATACGCACGTAATTTTATTATATTAAAAAATTTGTAAATTATTAAAAATGTTGCCCATTCTATCGAATACACAATTCTACTCTTTGAAGTAAATTTATACAATGAATGCTTTCTAATATATTATATTCTGAATAAATATGTTATACTTTAAAGTTTAATTTATCAATTAAATCCGTACCCAGTGAATATTTAAAATTGACCTTTTCGAAGACAAAACCTTATATGAAAAAATTTTATTCTACACTTTCAATTTATTTTTTCATGTAGAACCATCGCTTTTCCGGTTGTACCACCGCGAAAGGTCGATCATATAATTTTTTCCCTAGAGGAGAAATGTGAAAAGTTTCGCGTAAATACTATACGATTTCGCGAGATCATGTAACTCTCCCAACCGTAAAAATGTGAAATTGTTTACGTGAACTTGTTCATTATGAATTATGATGGTCGAAAGGCGGAAATCTAGAGAATTAATAAATATATTTCAGAATTAGAGTAAGTGTAGTCTGATCGTGTTACTCTCCGCGATAGTTTATTATCTCGTGAGATGGATATCACTATCATGAAATAAAAACGGTTATGAATACCAGTTTAAGCTACATGTACTTATAATTAATATCACGCTATGCGTGAAAAGCTTCATGTGAAAGCTCGAGTGAAAAATAAAAAATAAAAAGTAAGAAATAAAATGTGAAAGTTTCACGTAAAAATGATATAATTGACCTCGAGTTCATAAACACTGTAGGGGCCTTTTACGGTTCTTGAAACAAGATGAAAAATTACAAAATTAAACTAATTTATTTATAACTTCATTGGTCAACACAGCAAATTTATTCATTTTTATCTTTTTCACCTCGTTTCCAAAATCGTAATAGGCCGCCTATATATGAAAATGATATTTACGTTAGAGAGGAGAGAGAGAGAGTGGAAATTGTCTAAATAATTTAAAGTTTGACAGTCCTTTAAAAAGAATCCTATTTCAGGGAGCTACAATATCGTGTGGAGGTGCAAAACCGAGTTTATCGTCGTGAGATGGCACAGCTGGAATTGGAATTGGCTAGATTGGAGAAACAGCTGGCACAGGAGCCAGTAGAACCGTCACACACCTCATCAAGCGCCTCGATCCCACAACGAAATCCAAGTATTGGAGGCGGTTTACCTCTTTTGTTGCTCAGTGTTCTACCGCCGGTTATCCCCCGAGCTAGCTGGCCTTCCGCAGATTCGTCCGGTAAGTATAAATCGACGTCGCGATCCGTAGATCCGTCGTGCAAAACAACGCTATTCCGACTTTTACTTGATTAAATACTTGGATTTATTTTAGATGCTTATGGTTAAGGCTGGGTTGTTCCATCTTTCGATAAACTTCAACTCATTCTCTTACTCTCTTACTCTTTTATTTATCCATTAGATAAATTATCACATAGTTAATTCGAAGATGGAACAACTGACCCTAATTCTTTCATCTCTATAGATAACATTATTATCCATGGATAATGAGATATTCGAGAGATATCTGGAAGATATCCCCATAGATAAAATTATCGGTAACTTATCTAGAGGTGAAGAAATTGACCAATTAATCCTCGTTGAATAAATCCTTGTTCAAGATACAATAGTTAGATAAATCACGAGAGATAGCAAAAGCTATTAGGACTTAATTACATATTACGAAAGAGGTAACATAATATTGATCGCGACCAACAGATTCGTGATTCCGCGAAATGATAAATTGGCTTTCATTAGTCTAAACTTGGAAGCTAAGGTTCGCATTGATTCTATGAAGAAACGACCTCCTTCGTCGAAATATATCATTTATTAAAGGCGTGAAATCAAAGTTCGGCTAATGGAAATACTTGACTCAAAGTGCGACTGGCAGATTATCAAAACAAGAGCACAGAAAGGCAGGAATAGACGTGTCAAAGCTTGCACGACGAATCGAGCTTTGCTATAGCAGGAGAGAAGGAAGGAACTATAAGTATTAATGTTTTTCTCGCTTCGTCGTTCTTTTTTTCCGTCGATCAGATGTCCAAGGAAGGTGACAGAAATCCCTTTATTGCACGTAATTGCTTGAAAAACGTTCACCCACGCTCGCCTGCCTGAGTTGAAGCGTGAGAAGAGAGTTCGAGTTATAGAAGATATTAGTGTAGCAGGAGAGAAAAAAGCGTTTTATTAAAACCCTTTCTCGAAATGTTTCTTACGTGTTTTGTAAATTAGATTTATGCAGAAACGGTTATTGCTTCTACAGATAAAAGTAACATATGCATGCGTAAATTTAGTACTCGAGATACTGTCGCACACTGCAAACCCAATTAAGTGTGTGAAAAGTAATTTCAATATATGTATGTTTAGTTTTCTGTATAAAAATGGCGCTATATTACACGTTTAAATGTATAAATTAAGGTGGCCGACTCCTTAAGAGGGCAAAGAGACATTAAAAAAATTCAATATTAGTAATTATCATAATTAAATTTTAAAAGATAAACATTTCTTAAATAATTGTTAACGAAACACATACATAATATCATATTATTATATTCGTAAATAACTAGTAACACTTGATGTATAACATGAGATCACAACAAAATTACGTCAAGTTACAAGAGCCACATTTTATTTTTTAAAATTGCACTTTTCTACTGAATGTATTTTATGAACAATATCTGAGTTTTTAAATTTAAAAAATCATAAAATTCACGTATTAATTGAAAATTACATTTCGCACTTATTATTTTCATTTGTTATTTCATATTTACTATTTTTAGACTCAAAAGAGGGACAATTTATGTCTTTAATTTGGAACAATATTTGGGATGCGTTGTAAAGTGGGACGAAGAGTTAAAAAAGTTTGGGATAGTACTTCCTGATTTGAGACAGTTGATCATTAGAGGAAAGTCGCCGATACTGACATAGGTCTCCTAAAGTGACACCCCCTTATTTCTCAGAAACTAACTATTGCACTTTATTGATACTAATAAAATCATGATCTGTTTAGCTAATTAAAGAAATACAAACTCATAATTCATATATTATGTGGCTTATGTCTATACCAAATCAGCTAAAAATCAATTCTATGAATCCGAGAAGAAAATTCTTACGGTGTTCTTTTGCAAATTGCGTAATTAAAATAATAATGACTATATTATTGATAATATTATGTCATTTTAAATGTTTATAGTTTCATAAATTAGTTTTATTTATAGAATAGGATATATCTTTATTTATAAAATAAGAATGTTGGTATTATTGCCTACTATGTCAGTTTTGGAGCCCATTTTGTCAAACGCTCATTTTTGCATAACTTACGAAAAACTTAATTATTGCAAAATTGCAAACAATATTATAAAAATTGCTTATACTATCTGATAGAAGATACTTTGTATTTATGTTTTTGAAATTGTATTTTTACCTTTTGTTTAAGAAATGTTGTCTAAAAACAAAGTAGTATGTCAGTATCGGTGACCTTCCTCTAAGGTGTAAATTCATATTTATGTGAATTATAGTAATTTGTATGCAATATAATTATTTTTATATAATAAACTAATCACACACATATTATTGAAATCACTTTTTACACACTTGAATTTGCAGTGCAGGGGTTTTAATTATAGTGCATTAATTATTCGTTGTAAACGTTTTATATGAAGATATCCCTGAAGCTTTGTATATAAAATGCGAAGAAAAAACATACCTAACAGAACAAAGTAGCAGTGGACAATCCTCTTTAAAATAGTTTTAGAAATTATTGAACTTTAGACTCTCAGTCACCGGGTCACGTTGTTGTACGAGGCCACGTTGAATAGTTGTAGATGTTCAATTTTGCAGAAATAAATCCCTTTTCATCCTCACTGTAACTGATGTACTTTTTTTACAGACTGCATGGACAAAATGCGATAATCGCTAGCGATTATTTCATTCGTGACTCGAGAAACACGTGCGCCTCGTAATTGATTTTGTTTATTCCTATCTGTCGAGTACGTTAACAAAGGGAAACTTTCCTCGAAAACTCACTGTCTCACTTTGCCATTTGTAGCGCAAACACCGTGCGCTTGCATCACGGAATATTCGCTTTCAACTGTCATGCACATGCATATTTACGCTCCGATAATTCATCGACGACGCCGGGGCGCAAAACATGTATCGAGTACCTCGTGTACCAATTATCGTTAGCATCAACTTGACCATGATCGCGAGAATACCATTCAATATTATTAACAAGTAAGAGCTCGTTGGGCGAAAAGTTTCTGTATGTATATCGATTCTCGTTCCGAGTTTCACATTACCCTATACTCGACTCGTATCTGCAAATCCCGAATCCCTTGGATAAGTTCGGACAATTCTGCACACGATAACATACAAGTACGAGTATGCACGCTGACTGCACGTTCCACCCCAATATTTCTGAATGTCTACCATGACCGGATCGAACGAGGTTAAAGACGCCGGTTTATGTGTATGCATGCATACGGGGTGTCTTTCATCACCATTGCCGGAAAATCGTGGACTCTTTGAAAAATTTTGAAAACAATTTCTCTGAAGAAAACGAAGAAAAAAAAAGAGAAAGAAAGCGCGACCCAATTTCAAATATCTTTTCCATTTAAACGAATCTTATATATATAATATACGATTTATTGAAATTAATTAAATTTTTTTAATTAATTTATTTATTAAAATTAATTAAAATTTGTTAATGCTCTTTTAATTAAAATTTTTAAGAAAAGATGATTCGAATTAAGAAAAAAAATGTAGTCATAATTTTCTGGAAAATTTCTAATCTATCACGATTATGTCACGCGAAAATATTCTTTACTGATAGTATGAGTATATCCTATGCAGCTTTGCATTACGTAAATTACACACTGCGTACGTGATATATGACACGCCATATATCGCAGTGTCTGTGTACTGAAACTCAGATGACGGAAATATTTAGTAATTATCGATCTTGAGTTCCTTCATATGTCAAAGTATCAAAGTAACCACTATCTGAATAACAAACATCCCTCGTAAGTTATGTTGAAGATACGAATTGTACGCTTTTGTTTTGAATTTACACAATTTACGATTAACTATTAGTCTTTTAAATCTTCTCGGCTAATTAAGACGAAGTTTTGAGTGGCAATTATGTGCAACCTTTCTTAAGGGTCATTTTCAGAGAGCCATTTTTTAAAATAGGTAAAATCGATCTTGCAAGTCGCAAAATTAGTATTTCCCTATAAGCGTAAAATATTTCTAGAATATTATATGAATATTATATGAATATTATTTTTTTTAAATTAAAATAATATAATATTTCGATATTATATAATATTTTTTAATATTATGGAAATATTCTATAGATGTAATATGTCCACTTTATATAATAGCATTGGCCTTTAATATCCAATAAAGTAATATACCAATAATATAAAATATTATTAAAATATTTATTAATATTATTTTCATATATGTATAATTTGAATTCACAATAAGTGACGAAAAGGTCTCATCAGTTTATGCTTCATCTTAAATAACATTTCGGTGTGATTTTATGTACATATCCAGTTCTACAACTGCGCGTCAAAATCATTTTCAGTCTTTCAACTTAATCTTAAACTGAACTGTGGTAACAGTTTTATAAATTAAAATAAATGTTACTAAAATACTTTTTAATGTTCATACAATATTACAGTAACATTAAATAATGTTACTTTTAATAATCATATAACATTACCAGGAGTGGACATATAACCATCCATTAATATTTTAGGATTATTTAATATTATATAATTTTAACAAAATATTATTAAAACATTACATTCAATATTCTAAGAATGTGCCTAAAGTATTGCTTAATATTAAATAATATTATACGTTTATAGGATTATTTCGTTTGCACACAATAGAAAATATGATTTTATATTTTCTACTATGAGCCAGTGGATCACAGGTTGCGCATTGATACATATTTTATATATATGTATACATATATATATATATAT